ATCATCCCTTCAGCGAAAATAGCGAAAATAAATTCCAAGCGAAAATAAAGTATTCTACAGTACATCCTTTGAATTTAACCTTGTCATATCACTGCCAGATATCTTACCACATTCAAACAAATGCCTTGCTAACAGTTTCTACCACTGATATGTTGCACACAGGTGCCCCAAAAACTTTAAAACAGCAAACATGCACATATATTAGGAACGAGAAATCAAAATTTCTTTTTAATGAAGCACTACATTGCAAAGATATGTGTAACTTAATCAATAACTTTAATTTAACTGATTTTGATAACTCTCAACAGGCAGTCGATTAAGCCACAGATATTCTCTCGAATAGTTACCATGCTGCATCCCGTAAATGTTTAACAAAACATAAGGTAAAGACAAAAAACCCCAAACATAAGAATAAGAAAAATAACCCTAAGTGGTACACTTGTGAATTGACTAAGCTCAAGAAAGAAGTTCATAAAATGACAATTAAATTATCATCTAATCCGTACAACAAACAGCTCAGAACTGAATGCTATAATATGAAGTGAAAATATAAACAGCTTGTAAAAAAGAAGAGGCGAGAATACAAGAATGATATACTAACTAAACTAGACACAATGAGTAACTCGTGTCCTGTAGAATATTGGAATTTAATAAATAAACTAAAGGGAGGACAAGAAAATAAGTTATGTGATAACATTAATGCTGAAAAGTGGTATGAACATTTCAAGATCCTCAATACAGATGAAACCCCATTTGATTACAACCTAAAAATAGAAACTGACAGCCTCAAAATTACACTTATTAACATTCTGGACCAAAATATCTCTCAATTAGAAATTCAAACTGCAATCAGTGCTTTAAAGAATAGAAAATCTCCCGGTGAAGATAACATAACAAATGAAATGATTAAAACTGGTACAAATGTCCTGATAAAGCCTCTACAAAAACTGTTTAACCATATCCTCAATAGTGGTCACTCTCCCAGTGCCTGGAATATGGGTATTATCACGCCAAACTTTAAAAAGGGGGAGCGAGCTGACCCAGGAAATTATCGAGGAATTACTCTTCTAAATAGTCTGAGTAAACTCTTCACCTCTATACTAAAAGAGAGACATACTAAACATATCAATGAAAATAACATTATAATGAAAGAACAGATTGGCTTCATGCCAAAATTCAGAACAGCTGATCATATCTTTGTACTTAAACAGTTACTGAGTAAATATTTAAAAAATAAAAAGCGAATCTTTGCATGTTTCAATGACTTTAAAAAGGCTTTTTATTCAATCTGGCACCAAGGCTTACTTTACAAACTCCGTAAAAACAACATCTCTGGTAAATTCTACAATATCATAGAATCAATCTATCAAAACTCTCTTGGTTGTGTCAAAACAAAAACAGGGCTTACACCCTCTTTCTCAGTAAACAGAGGGATTAGACAGGGAGATAACCTGAGCCCACTTTTATTCAATCTATATATTAATGACATCAAATACCACATTGAATCATCACAAAATAACCCACCAACTCTTTTAACTAACCAACTATCTTGTTTACTGTATGCAGCAGATGACCTATTACTACTTTCAGAATCAAAACATGGTCTCCAAAATGCCATTGATTCTGTAGGAATATATTGCAAACAGTGGAAGCTGGATGTCAATGCATCAAAATCAAAAATAATAATTTTCAACAAATCTGGGAAAATTCTATCAAAAAACAAATTTAAAATAAATGGACAAGAATTGGAAAACGTAACATCATATACCTATTTAGGACTAAAAATAAATTCTTCAGGTAAACTCAGCAAAGCACAGGAAGATCTTGAACACAGAGCAACAAAAGCACTATTCAAAATGAAACAACTATTATACTCAGAAAATAACATCCCAATTAAAACACACCTGAAACTATTTGACAGCATAATCAAACCTGTCCTCCTCTATTGCAGTGAAGTATGGGCTAGTGATTGCATACTACAATCCAAAGATCTTCATAATAATATGCTTCCTATGGAGAAGCTACACATCAAATTCTGTAAATATGTGTTACAAGTTAACTGTAAAGCTAGTAATTTAGCATGTCTATTAGAAGTTGGTAGGTATCCCCTACTTCTAACGAACATAAAGCACTTAATAAATTATTGGCAAAAAATTAAAAATAAAAATGAAAATACTCTAGTTCATGAAGCATATCAACTTGGAATGGAGCTTGACAAAAACAATACATCTAACTGGGTAACTGGTGTGAAAAGCATACTAAAATATGTAAATGAAAACAATGTGTGGGAGAACCAACATCTGCATAATGCTACCTCTATAACAAAAAAGGTTATGGACAATCTCCGAAAAATATTCAAAATTAACAGTCAAGAAAAAATGCAGGATGACAACAAAGGAAAAAACCAAAAAAAAACAAATTGTGCACATACAGAATGTTAAAAAAATGACTGCTCATATGAGGAGTATCTTTCAGTAATAAAAGACTCTAAACATAGATCAGCACTAACAAAACTAAGAATTAGTGCTCATGTTCTACAAATAGAAATGGGTCGCTACAATAAAATAGATGCATGCAAAAGGAAATGCCCTGTGTGTGACCTAGACGAAATTGAAGATGAAAAACATTTTCTGCTTAACTGCAAATTATATGAAAATGAAAGAAACCAACTAAACACTAAGTCAAAAATGTCACTCCCAAACACGACAGATGAAGAAAAAATTATAGCTATGATGAACAACAATGAAAATAAAACAATTATAAAACTAGCTAAATACATTTACGAATGTTTCAAAATTAGAGAAAATAACATGAAAAAGCCTTCATTCTCATCCAAATAAACAACAATATTAATATCAAGGCATATCTGCAAGTTTTTTTTTTTTTCTGTTATCATTTTTATGATATTTTATCTTATTGTCTTTCTTGTTTTTTTTCATCCACAATTTATTGTAATTTAACTCAAGATCCTATAAAGGATACGATATCAATAAAGTTTATTATTATTATTTATTATTATTACAATGAAAATGTGATGTCACGATAGTGATGAATTAATACGTCACCAGTCAGTAATTTTAGTGATTTTATTATATCAACTTGAGCAGTAAGTGAAAGTGAGAATGTCATGCAATGAATAGTTTTTTTATTGTTTATCATAGCAAACGTGAACAGAGCACTGGAAGCACGTGTGCATATACTAGTCATCACTGTGCCATTGTACTACAATGGTACGAGAATCGCAAATGGATATGATACAGCAAATCAGGATTTCTGAAGAAAGCTATTGTTTTAATAAACATAATTTAAAGACACGTCATTTGTATTTTAGTAACACATTCCGTAATAGCTCCGATATTAATTAAGCCATTACAAAATGTCTATGTAGCCATGGTTACAAGTAATCTGGAGTTATGTAGGACCATCCATGTTCAATAGCAATCTTGACTAGACCGCCATACACATGTTATAGTGTCATCTGCTTGCAAATAAC